TGTCTGCTTTTTAAAATTTTGTTTGTTTGTTTGAAATTATGAGGGTGAGATGAACTGCAGTGTAAGATGGGCTGTTTTGATATATTCCATTCATGATACCGTGTTAACATGAATGATTTGTTGTATTTTTCATTCCATCTAAAGATGTGCTACCTTACCGCATCAGTGATTATATGAAAGATCTATCAACAAATCAGCAAATAGAGTCCATCTTTGCTTCATTCCATTTTACTCAGACCCTATTAAAAATTGAGTAATTTGTAGCTGGTGCTTTCCTGATTTTAGATTTAAAATGATTAAAAGTGCATAGCAATATATTACATATATCCATAAATTTAGTATACTTTTATTAAAAAAATCATGCATGCTGATATGTATTCATTTCAACATTAAGACTGTAACTAGTGTACATAATTTAAACAATGTGGTAAAACTATAAGGCCTGATTTTAAAATTACAAGGAATTTATTTTAAAATGTAAATTAATTAAAATTAATAATAATCAAAAGTAAAATAGAGTTCTTGGATCCATTCTCTTATTAATAGCATGAGCAGGCAACTCCAGCCATGTTTGTAATATATTTATGAAATATATATATGTGTAAAATAAATTTGTGACAATATATTTATTCTTATTCTGATTCTTCTCATCAAGGCTAACTATAGTGATGGGAGACATTTTTTTTGTACATAAGGAAATAATTTACTATCTTATTTTGGAATAAACCCAGACTAAAACCTCATATCTCAAGGATATAGGTAATTGAAATTTATTTTTATAAAACATAACTTTTTAAAATGGAAACATAGACAAAATTTATGCTCTCATGCACATGAAAAACGAAACTTTACATAAAGCTTGTTAAGATTGGGGTTTGAATGTACATTAAATCATTTCTTCTGAAACCGAAGTAATTAATAAGAATATGAAAAGCTATACAAGTATTTTATAAACTAGAGATATTTTCCCCCTTCTAATGTTATTTTTATAAAGGTTATTACTAATTTGTCCTGCCTCAGATAGAACTTGAGTCTCCTGCCACTATACTTAACAAATGTCCTAAGAGACTGTTTATTATCTGAAATTTGCCTCTGCTCTCCCAGTGGTTGTTGCTTGCTTTCGGAAGCAATATGTGAACCTATGATGTAAGCTTTTATCACACAGTGATTCCATTCTGCCACTGTGACCAAAAGTACCTGACTGTTGATCAAATTCTCTGTATTCGTTTCACCTTTCCCCCCCCCCCAATCTCTGTTAGGTTCTGAGCTCATGCCCAAAGCGCTCTCCACCAGGATAGTGGGAGGCATTTGGTGGTTTTTCACACTTATCATCATTTCTTCGTATACTGCTAACTTAGCCGCCTTTCTGACAGTGGAGCGCATGGAATCCCCTATTGACTCTGCTGATGATTTAGCTAAACAAACCAAGATAGAGTATGGTGCAGTGGAGGACGGTGCAACCATGACTTTTTTCAAGGTAAGTCCTACCGATTGTCTATAATTTACATATTAAAATGATAGAGTGCAAACAAATCTGTCTATTAATGGATATAAGGGTGTAGCAACACTGTTATTTGTGAAGAATAATCAATAGTCAGTAATCCTCAATAATCCTCAATAATCAACAGTCAATAATAATCAACAATAAAAAATAATCAGTAATCCTCAGGGGATGGAGAGGTATGTGTACAACTAAATACACAGTCATTAGGCAACACATTTTAATACTTGCAAATGGCAAGGATTTCTTGCTTTGCAAGTGTTCTTTTTTGTTCTAAGGCAATTCTACCCACAGGTAACATTTTTTTTTCTCAACAAGGTTTTATTTTTGAATGTAAGTATATACATTTATTAGTATATATTAATATATTAATTACATTAATATAATAAACTTAATATATAATATATATCAATATATACCTAACATAATGACTATATTGATACAATGTATTAATTATATATTAATATATATTTATTGATATATATTAAATAGTATTAGATTCTGACTCTACAAGGCTTAGATGTTCCAGAGGAATAGAATGATTACATACATACATAATATTCTTATACATACATTTCTCTCTGTGGAGGTGAGACAAGATTTACTTGTTCAGAAGCCTACAGTAAAAGAAGGAAAATAAATGATAGGAATAAACAGAAACAATTGTTGTTGTATGCACATTCATCTAATGTTCTATAAGTCACAGAGTCTGAAATGAGCTATACCACTGAACTCACGATGGTTTTCAGAGCGACGGCTCTGTGGAACACTTAAATGGAAAGTGTGCTTGAACCAAGTTCCAGGATATAGAGTGTCTTACCCTCCTCTTTATTCTTCCTTTCTTCTTACTCTAGCTGATCTCATTAGGCCAAAGTACTGTACTCTAAATGGGGAGATTTCACTTTAGGGAGACAATATCATTTCCTAATTTCTTTTATATTTACCAAGGCTTTAAATTCTTTGTATGTCAAGCAAATTTTTAAGCACTCGTATTTTCCTTCACTGTTCATACAAATGTAATAGGAAGTTTAAATATGCAGAAGTGGTAAATTTTTTTAATAATTGACTCAAACTATAAAATAAATTATTACATAAAACATTCAGCATGTAACTGTTGAATACCAGATATTGCATTACATGTTGGTATCATAGAGCAAATAACATCTATTTCTCACTTCCAAGGAGAGCATTGTTTAACTGGATGACTAAATCAACAATCATGAAACTGAGCTTTATACTACTTAAAACCAAAACTTTGCCAAAGAATTATATAGTTTTTGTTGTAAAAGTCCTCACAAAACTAAATCTCTTTTTCTAGAGTTCTGGAGGACATTAAATATCCAAAGAATGAGACAAATTGATTATTTTGTCAAATGTATATAACAAAATTTAATTATTTTCAAAGTGAATATCTCATATGGCTAGAAGAAAGCTTAAATGTGTATTTTACACTTATTTGGAAAATCATTATTATTTAATCGAATGTATTGAATAACTAAAAATGAGCAAAATATTATGATCAGTAAGTGCTATTTGACTATATTAATTATAGCTGATCAATGCTCCCCAACTAGATATTCAGAATTAATAGAGATCGCTTTTCTTATATAGCTTTTTTTTTTATTAAAAGGAAATCAGCTGTTGAAAATGTTAAATGCACATTGTCTGTGTCAATAACTTTTAGGGAGTGAATATATGATCATTAAAATTATTATACTATTCAAGAGACTTTTGAAATAGATTTTGTAAAAAATATACCAAGTACCTAAATCAAGTGATTTGACACCAAAAATTATTATTTCTGTTTCAAATATACATCAGAGGTTTCATTTCATTTTTATATTTGAGAAGACTCAAATATCTTAGGTTTCAAAGCACTTATACTATAAGCAAGGTTTATCTCTGGAAAATGAATTTCAGAAAAAATTCTTTTTTTCCTTATCTTTGAGATTATTCTCTCTCCTTTTTTCTTTTCAGTCTTTTCTATTTTCTCTTCTTTCTTTTATATACTTTTTTTAATTTTTATTTTTTTAGTTAAATTATGCAGTGTTAGTTTCTTTTTTGAATACCTTCACTTTTCTTTGCTATTGACTTTTCTTCTTACTCTTTTAGCCCTTGTTTTCTCTCTCACATGCAAGCGAACCTCCAGCACCAAGAGAAAATTGACATAGAACAATACTCTGTTTCCAACAGCACATTCTTTCTGTAGAATTAAGGCTTTCTGGAATCCATACTAGTCACAGTAAAAACCACACAGTGATAATTACTAAGTTGACAATTACCTTATGTTGGTAACTTCATAACATGCTGAATTCATACTTTTAAATGATAAAAAAAATGGAATTTAAAAGAATTTTAAACTTTTCTTTAGTTATTTTAGTGTACCCCTAAAAGGTACTGATTTCAACCTCATATTTTACTTATGCTTATACCAGCCATGGGTATAAAGTTAAAAAAAATGTTCCCTAGCAATCTGGATTAAAAGTAATTGCATGTTCATTTTGAAACTCCACAATGAACCAGGGACTAGTGTGTATATTCTATTTATATTTGATACCATTTTATTTCTTAATTAACAGCAATGCATACAAACACTCTAGGAAGCACCCTTAAGGCATTGATTTCTAAAGGAATTTCCATCTTGCTTTTACAAATTTAACAAGACCCAGCTGTTAGTTAATTGTTCTGGAATGCTCAGTTCCAGAAAATTATTGTAAAGAATGGTATAGTTTTGTTACTACAAGCAAGAAGAACTGGCTCAAGATACCTGGCCTTAAAGGGGTAAGTCCTCGGTATTGCAAAAACACAGAGTTGTGCCATTCTATAACTAAAATAATCCTTTTTCAAAGAACGTGTTTGACTTTGTTTATTGAGCTTATGTGCATACTGTCTTCAAGAAGAGTTCTTTCTTCTCTTCTTTTATATCCATTACACTCCATGTGCATTCTTCTCAGGGACAAATGTAAAGCCATGACTGGTAAAATAACTCAAAATTGAGCAGATGGTAGTTCTTAAGTGTTGTTCCTTATAAACAGCAGAAAACTGTATGATATCACCAATATATGTTCTTAATCATATTTAAATAACTGAAGGCCCAGGTTTTCACTGAAAAACAGTAAAGGATTTGTCAAAACCTCCTTCTCGGAATCTGGTAATTTGGTGTACTACAACTGAAATCTCACCCCAGGGCTGAACACTACACAGAATGTTACTAAGCAACAAGCACATTCTCTTCTCCGGAAGTATAAAGATTAGAAAAATGAATACATATAGATTACATGTTCGAAAATAACTCAGCTAGAGCTTGTAGGTGTTACAGTTTCTTTTGAGAATTGCTATATTTTCAAAGTGAGTCATATGTTTTACAAAATGATGCCGAATCACCTTGTTTCTATGCAACGCATGACTCAGGTTTTCCAGTTTCTGCCAATTCTCTCTCTGGGTTTGGTTTACCTGAAATCTCTGGCTTGTTGTGTATGCCAATACAGTCCGCCCTTCCAAAAAAGATGGTATCAAAGGGGATATCTTTTTTATGGTTATTTTTTAAGGTTCTGCCATATATTAAAAGAACATTTAAGAAGTATCAAACATACAATGCATATCACTTAATACTTCTAAAAATAGAAAGTCTATAATTCAGAATAGTTGTTATGAATAAAAAAAAACTGTGGAATCAGAGAAACCGGGCTTGATTCTGGGCTCTAGCACCTATTGGCTGTATTTAGGTAAGATACTGTTCCTCATAAACCCATGATTCCTCATTTCTACATTGGAATGACTAACACGACTCTTCTCACAGTATTTTTTTGAGTATTAAATGAAAGCTCTACATGTTTACTAACCATCTAGTAAAAGCTTGACAGATGTTACATATTAGCATTACTAAAATATATGGCCAATTAAAAATGTTCGGAATTTGGGATGATTTTAAAAATAGTCAAGTAAATTATGTCTCTATGACCCACAGCAGGGTAAATAATTTTGAAATAGATTTAAAAAGAGATCACAGCAGTTTATCTAATTGAAATTGCTTCAGTCTTCTGATTATTATTGTCAGATTTAATTTGATAAGTGAAATAAAAAGAAACTAAGAAAACTCTTTTCTAGACTGTGTAGTTTGAAATGGTATATTGAGGTGCATTTAACAATTTTTGGGAGGAATTTATTGCAAAGCATAGGTAAAGGGAACTATATAAATATTTAACTTTAACTTGTTTTTAATTTAATGATTAAGATGTCTTATTTTAGCCAGTATTGCCATGCACCTTATGTTATCAATTACATGATATGGATATTCATTTGTAAGGTATCAAATTTTTATTCAAGAATTAGTCACTGATCATCTCTTATGTGGTAAGAATTGTGTTAAATCTTAGACATATCTCCTACATCTCCAAGCACTGCCTACACCTGTCCTTTCTATCTCCTGTATACCTACTTCCTTTACTATGGTCCTGGTTCCAAAAACTAGTTCATCTTTGTCTCTGGTTTTGTAGTTAATCATTTCACTTTCTTTTTTCCAATTTTGTCTGTATTGTTCTCTGTGCTGCTACCAGAGCGACTTAAAGTCCTCCAAAATGATCCTCTCTCCTTTGCTTTAGGATATAAACTTAGTTCCTCAGCCTGCTTACAGCCACCTCATAATTGGGATTCTTGAGCAAATGGCAAAGAAGGAATTCTTGAGATGTCTTTGGTGCAAAAAGATACACGGGGACAGGACCCATGGGCACAAAGAGCTGCACTGGGGTTGTAAGGAGTGACTGATTATATGCCTTTACGTTAGTGGGAGTTAGGGATAGCATAAGTCTCTAAGGAATTTGAAAGCGAGGCTTTCAGGACCTTGAGGGGCTAGCTACTGTTAAGATAGTTACTTTTAGTCTTTAATAAAATGAAAACATTAAAGAAGTAAGGTAGCCATGAGTTTGAGAAAGGTCACCTTCTGCCTATTTCAGGTGTATATCAGTGGGCTGCAAACT